AAACATATAACTTAACAAAACATCTCGTCCTTAAAGCACCCTTATTCTTCTTCTTCTAGTTTGCATGATTGTCCCATCCCTAATACTGTCTACCATACCATGGCAATATTTGTTGAGAGTAAATATATGCTTTAAAATTTGAACCCCATAATATATTAATGAGTCATATTGAAAAGAACCTGTTTAAATTGATACCACTTGTGAAGAAGAGGTTAACGTTGAACTAAATGTTTTCAATGGTTTTGGTCAATATAATGAATCATGACATACAGATGAACATTAACCATGAAAGATGCTTGGCAAAGTAACTGACTTAATATATACTGGTAGTCAAGCATAAAAAATACCAAGTATAATATTATGAATAATTGCTGCTGTAATACATGGATGATGTATACATGATGTATACATGTAAAAGACTTTCTCAATATGGCAGTAACTTGTTCGTTAATCTAAAACTTGTATAATTTCAAAAAGTGAATTAATAAAAAAAGACACTTTTTTCATTTAAGTACTGTATCACATAGGGGAGTGGAAGCAGCCTATATTTATAGCTTCTATGATCGTGATCATCCTGTAATATGAAATCTTGTTATAAGGCCAACTTCTGTCCTCTGTGATTTTGGCGGTATAATGAGTTTGGCGGTATATCAGGTTTACCGTTAAGAACCCAAGTGTTCAAACAACAACTGAATTTATGCTATAGAAAATAATAATAACCTTCAGAATTTTATTTTTTTTCAAAATTGTAATTTAATGTATCAAATTGTTGAGCGTGCAAAACATACAGCTGATTACCTGGTCAGTCGGCAGTCACATGTAACAATACAATGTACACACGTACGTAACATTCCTGTCATCGGAATACACCTGTACTCGACTCAAATTGGCGGTATTTAACGAGGTCAAAATAGTGTGATTTTAACTATTTGTTTTGGGAATATATGATGCTGAATGGCAGTATGCAGGTTTGGTGGTTTAACGGGTGGCATTACTGTACATAATTATTGGGAATCTTCCACTAAAATTTCACCACGATAACATTTATTATTATAATTAAAAGGGATTACCTATGACAAGAAACAAACCAATAAATAATATTTCTACTGATAAAAACAAATTGCCTGCCTCGAGATAGAACAAGTGTACCTACTTATGGTCTAAGTTTGCCTCTAGTTCGATCTGTACATTTCCTGCCAAGTAAAACCTAAATGTATTAAACACTCTGAACATCACAGTTTGGCTGAAAACTACAGTGCGGTCTGCTGTTCGTGTAGATAGCTATAGGCTTTTAAGGATCCACAGTCATTGCAATAGAATTATTCCAACCAATATTTGATGTTGATCTGTGGGTACAAGCACCAATCGAAGCAAGCATACATGGTTGTTACAAATTCCTTTAGTCTGTCTATCCTTATCAATAGAAAGTGGCACACACTCACTTGTAATTCCTTCACAGGCTGCCTAGCTTTTTCATTATTATTGCGTTTGGGCTAGAAATTTGCATGTAAATTGGCAGTATTCATGGATTCTTTCTCAAGAATTTGGGAGGATTTTCTTGGATACAACACTGGATATATGTATATGTGCCAATACTCTTCCCTCTATCATTCCCATCTTTAGTACACCATGCCATGTCACAGCTCACTGTTGACATGTAAATCTATCAGAAATGATTCCACATTTCAAGATAATTACATTTACATCACAAAGGCTTTATGTGTGCATGTTTACTCTTGTTATTTCTTATATTCCTCTTGACATATCAGATCCGTCAGTTCAAGAGACCTTGTTTGACCGAACCATATATCCTAAGGGGACCAATCACCATGTCTGACGGATATCTGATTCATCAAAAAGCATCCTTAAAGGAACTGACTTTGTCAAATTCATCATGGATCCTTCAAGGAACTTTGTCTAGTCCAACAAATATCCTTAAAGAAACCCTGTCTGACAGACAGTGGCTGATGGCAGTGACCAGCTGCCATATCCCTAAAGAGACCTGCACTGTAAGACATACAGTGTCTGACTAAGGATCAGGCATCCTTAATGGGCCCTTGTCTGGCATCCTTAAAGGGAACTGGTCTGATAGACAGTGTCCAAATAGTGATCAGGCATCCTTAAAGGGAACTGGTCTGATAGACAGTGTCTTACTACAGATCAGACTTCCTGGATCAGGATCCTATATCATGGATATGCTCCTGTTGGTCTAAATTGGGATGAACCTGCACAGTAAGACATACAGTACTGAGGATCAGGCATCCTGAAAGGGAACTGGTCTGATAGACAGTGTCCAATTAGTGATCAGGCATCCTTAAATCATTCACCCCTGAAGACACATTTGAACTCTTCCAATTCAAAGGTTGGAATAGTCCATTATGAAATTTCAGGGGTGAATGAGTTAAAGGGAACTGGTCTGATAGACAGTGTACAATTAGTGCTCAGGCATCCTTAATGGAAACTGGTTGGATAGACAGTATACAATTAGTGCTCAGGCATTCTTATAATGGGAACTGGTCGGATAGACAGTGTACAATTAGTGCTCAGGCATCCCTGATGGGAACTGGTCGGATAAACAGTGTCCGACTAAGGTTTAGGCGTCCTTAAAGGAAACTTGTCAGATATAGTGTCTGACTAATGAACAGGCATCCTTAAAGGTAAATGGTCTGATAGACAGTGGCTGATTAGTGATCAGGCATCCTTAAAGGGAACTGATCTCAGACAGAGTCTGCTTAATCATCAGACATCTTTTATCGGAACTTGTCTGATAGACAGTGTTCAAATAGTGATCAGGCATCCTTAAAGGGAACTGGTCTCATAAACAGTATATCTTACTAGAAATAGCGTAAAATAAACATTCACTGTCAAATATCCAAGATAACCCCTTATCGGCCATTATGTTCATCAAAACCACCTTGAAACTAAATATGTTAAATAAGAGACTAACAGGAACCTACATAAGAAATTTGAGAAAGATCCTCGAAGTACGTACTTCCTGAGAAATAGCCATATCAAACATTCAATGTCAAAATCCAAGATGGTAACCTGTGATGGCCACCTGACGGTCATTTTGTTTCTCCAAGCAATGTCAAAATTAAACATGCTCAATGAGAAACTAAGGGATATCGTCTGCTGGACAACTGAACTACTCGTTAGTGAAGCGGACGTTACACCAATCATTCAATCAATCAAAAACTAAGGGAAACCTACATATGAAATTTGAGAAAGATTCCTCAAGTCCATTCACTGTCAAATCCAAGATGGCCGCCTCCCTGCCATTTTTTTTAATTGGACCCATCTTAAAAAAATTATGCACAATCCTAATTAATAGCTGAATTTATTTGATCATCATTTTGTACATAAAATACCCCTGCAAGTGTACATGTAATAATTATATGCATCACTGGCCATTTGTATGATAAAGATGATAGAGTAGGAAATTTCTATCTTGCACGCCATTTCATGCGACACGACATCACAATGGCTCGACAATGACATGACGTCACGAATTTGGAACTCTCCAATGCTGCAATGCGGAAAAGGCGACGTGATGAAATTAAAAACCTTTTACGATATATTTAGCGTACACGTTAGAAAGTTGTGATTAATTTTCCTGCGCAAACAAAGTTTGCCAATATGGGATATGCTTAAATCGGCTGGCTGATTTGTTTTCGTCTAAAAAGCTCTGGGGGTAAATTGATATTTTCAAAATGGTGGTGGCCAGTCCAAACGCGTTTTCATGGTTTCTGAGCTTATTCTGGTGGTTGGAATGAGAGAATAATACACTTTCATGCCCAAGGGTGTAGGATAGGAAAATTCCACCCTCAGGATTTTATCCTACACCCTTGAGCTTGAAAGAGTCTTATAATATTCAAAGCTACACAAATGTTTCAATGGTTGTGTTATATGGTCCTGATCTCTACGATCCATATTTACCAACTGAAAGTTTGATTGTCATTTCATACATATGCTAATTTATCCTTTAATTTGTCTGATGAAGGTGACCATTACAGTTCATACCATACTGGTGCTGCTATCATTCATTAAACCGTCACACAAATATATCAGGTCCGTATTCATGAACTCGTTCTCATGCTCAACTTTCAAGCATGGATTTGTGCTCAAACCAACTTTCTTGTTATTTGCTTAATGCTTAAATCATGTGACAGCTGGTCAGATAGCCAATTGGGAACATTTAAGATTGAATGTGTCTTGCAGTCTCTCCCAAATCCTTCCAAAAATTATGACATAATGTGATTTGTTAACTAATTAATCACCAGAACAAGAATTATTAATTGGGTTTGAAAACAGAAGTTGATTTTGAGCATGAGAACGATTTCATGAATACGGGCCCTGATTGGCTGTTCTAACAAACCAGTATAGTCTATATTTATCCATCTGAAGAATTGTTTCGAAATACATTAGGCACATATTGTAGGTAAAGTGACAACCGAGGCTAGCTTAACTGCGAAGACATTTAATTTTGTAATTATGTGGAAATTCAAAGCAAATTAGTTTTATCTACAACAAACACCATGATTATTTCATAACTGACACTAAGCTAATTGAAACAGTGTCTACTCGAAGTGTGAGGGAGATCCAGTGCCTACACCAACGTAAACTCTCCCAGTGAAAATATGAATTATAATTTCGATTCCGTATGGATTTCAAACCAATACCAAAATCATCAGTCGGTAATGATATAATTTCACATTTTTACATATTACGGATTACAACACTAGCATCACTGTCCACTTTCACTGCTTGTTATGTTAACCATTTGGATCATTTCAATGAAGCGTGGTGACCCAGTTTTTCACCGCATTAACTCTCAACTTGAATGAATGTGTAAATCCTACCGAGGGTTAGGCCTAGTCGTAAACCTATGTACTTTATCTGTAAGTTCGCTTTCTAGAAAACAACATGAATACCCCGTATCCGTTAGGTATTAATCAGTTATTCCTAACTTCCGTCTACTTCATACAAATATGCTATCTTACCTGAGTAGCCCGTCAAACGACCATTTCGAATGCTCTCGTGTTTATCCGCGTTGCATATTATGCCACCATTATGCGTGTCACATGACTAGTATCAGTAGAGAGCCCGAAATGGAATCGTCCAATTATAGGGAGGATTACTAAGTCATTACCGGTCAAATATCAAGAATAATGGAACAACATCTTACTTAAACTACACAAGAATATACATATAGATAATTATACGGATAACAGAACTGAAATAACACACCGAATGCGTCATATGAAGGAACTCGACATAAATCATGGTACGTCTCTGGTACAGCTGACCCACATAAATGTGAAGCCGTCCTTCTATTTAATTTTTACGGTAGATCATGTGACGGCGTGTTTTTTTATACGTGTTTTAAGTCACGTACGGTATATGTGTGTTCTATCATGCCTCGGACAGAACGCAGTGGACAGTGATTCACTCAGTGTGCCATGGTAACCGCGCTATAAACACAAGTTAATTATAAATACCATTCATTTATATTTCAATGGAATATAAGGAAAAGGACATCAGCAAGTCTACTACGTCTACGAAAGGTTGTGAGTGTGTGCATGGCAACGGATGTGTACTCGTGTGTATGAAATATTTATGATTTAGAGAGTAAAGTTTGGTTTTAAAAGTGTCTGAAGTTACCAGGTCAGGAGGCAATTTAGTCCAATTTGGGCCGCTTTACAGCGAGGAATCTGATAGGAGAAATGATGAAGTAAACATTCATTTTCGAGAATAAATGCCTCAAATATCTTGATTATGTGATAAGATAAAAAGGATCTTACAATCGTTTTCATTTCATATGAGAAAAAAACTTAGACTCGTTTCATAAATCTCATATCAAATGGAAACTTATCTAAGATCCTATATATATAACAAACGTAGGTTACCCTCCGCGTTAGACATCATGTCATACAATCTGATTAAAATCACATGTTACATGGCTTCGTTAACTTCGTACTACGCCTGAACATCGATACGTGTCCGTACATTTCAGGGAACTGTCTCCGTTCACGGTGTGAATGTTTAATAAACTGTCATCTTTGTGTACATATGTCTTTGGGTTAATGTATATTCGCACAAGAAGAAACCCACACAAATACTGGTGTGACATGTGATACTGGGGCAAGTTCGGCCTGGGTTAAATAATAACTCGAGGTTCCTTTATACCGCTTTATCACAAACTAGTTCGTAGGAATTCTCAAAGCGGATCATAAATGAAGTCATATTTTTTGTCTTGCAAATATTTACAACTTTGAGTATCCTAGCAGTTCAACTTGACTGGGCATGGACATTCACGCGAAAAAGTGGCGATGGAAACTCAATTATGAAATTAATAAATGCCATTAATAAAAGGGAGAACTTTTGAGGGGATAGAAAGAAAATCATTATTTAACTTCTTTATAATGTTACAGGAGAAAGAGAAATGTACGGCTAGACTGGGATTCGAACCAGCTGCCCTCCAAACTCGAGACAGACGCGTACGATCGAGTTATACTTATGTAACACACTGACAGACTTACCTCGGACTGTCTGTCTGAACTTGCCCAAAGGCGGGAAAGGTTCGGCCATCCAGTCTATCGAAAGTTTTTTTTTACATAATTCTTCAAATACGGACCTGTTTGCCATTTCGATAATTATTTTATTAAAATCATGGAATTTCTGATCCAAATGGTAGATTATATGCACATATGAATTTCAACAAATGCCATACTGTCAAGAACGACTTTATTAAAAATAGGCCGAACTTGCCCTAGTCTCCCCTACCTTACAGGACTTTTATGAAAAAATAATAAAGATGAAATAAACAAAATATAATTAACAAACATGTTGTGAGTGTAAAATTTGAGAGAAGATAGACCGGGATTCGAACCTTTTACTTCAGATTGCTCTAACCAATTTAGTTTCCTAGCTGGTCAATCGAAATGTCCTAGCCCAACTGTGCTATAGTCTAAACGAAAGTTTCCCGATATTTAGGCGAGTTCTTTGTTTATATAACTTCAATTTGTTTCCCTTTGTGGTGGCGATGGTGCTTTCGTAAGGTAGTCGTGAAAGGTGAATAGATAATCATGTCTCCCCTAGCTCTTTTACAGGCCAACGTTGGTAATTGCTGACGTTGAGGTTTGCTTTGTGAAGGATAGATTAGCCATTCCCAGTATTAGCACAGTAGTTTTTTTGGACGTTTTCCGTAGATTCATCAGATGTGGACTACAGACTTGGTTTGCATATTCTAGATGTGGCCTCACAAGTCCTTCATATACATGTAGAGCTGAGTAGTCGGATCCATTTATTCCATTGTTCTCCTTCTCAATCCCACAATGGAATTGACCTTGTTGATTGTTTTAGCTATTCATGTAGACATTGAATGATAGTTTATTGTCGATAGTGGCTCCAATATCTTATCTTTTTCATTTTCAGGTACCTAAACCTGTGTGTTGTAAAAAAAAAATCTACCAAAATGTAAAGGCGAGTAATTTACATTTCGACCTTGTGAGACCACATTGAATTATGTCGTTGTTGATGAGACTACAATTGACAATGTTAGACATTGTAACATAATGGACGATGCCGATATTGAGATTGCGTTAGACCACCTATTGATCTTTCTTTTGCACACTTGACCTCAATGCTCCGAGTTACAATACGCGACCGAAAGACAACACGAATCATACAGCATGGAGCAACGCCACTGTTGATCGACTAATTTTGAATCAATTACTCTCGCTTCAAAATTACGTACCATCTGTGAATTTGATATGTCTACACAGTTTGGTACAGATGTACTATATGAACAAATAGTCTTATGTTTGACATTGTCGGCTGAAGAAACGATTCCAAAAAGACGTTTCAGAGAATACCTCAAGCCATATTGGACTCTATAGCATTAGAAAACGCGCACAATGCAGCTCTAGCGAACAGGAACATGTCCTACAAAAACGCTAAAAATATCTTCCGGAACATGCATCGCGAAGCACATGATAAAAATATATGGACAAGATCAATAACGAGCTAGACGAAACAGCCGAGGTGGATACGCGACTGATTTGGCGAGTTGTACGGAAACGCAAGAATAAAAAAAAACAGAAGTATGCACAGCAACATTAAGGCACGTGATCCACAAAGCATTGTAGAGTCATTCGCAAGTTTTTATGAAGAACCTTACGCTGACGACATAAACATCGATGACGTATATACGTACCTTTCATAAAGAAAAACGACATGGATAGCGCATTCACATTCGAGGGAATTGTTGACTCATGAAAGCTCCTGGAAAAGATATGATAACTTATGAACGCACTCGCTATGGAGGAAAAGCTTTAATTGAATTCATCCAAAAATGTTGAACTCCATTCGCAACACAGGATATATTCCGAAAACATGGAATGTATACACGAAAATCTGGAACAAAATAGCAGTGTTTATGTGGCTTTCTTAGATACATACAAATCTTTTAACGCGGTGCAACCAGAGACGTATTACACAGGTGAAGCGAGTCTCGCGATATGTCTTCCGGTTACCAGTGACCAGTGGTAAGACCAAGAGCAAGTTGCCAATCTCTGTATTATACGTCTCTGGTGCAACACAATAAACTGTATAATATAGTGTAATATAAAGACTCTATGAACTACTAGACCGAGGGAATACCGAACAGTCGTAACTTTCCCTCGCCGCGAAGTAATTCATGTGAATTTTGTAATTATTTTCATTTAAATTTATATCTCTTGTACTCTCATTTTTGAGGAATAAAGAATGAGGATGCAGGCGAAGTGCGAAGTTAACGGAGCCATGTTACAGATGGTTTCCAGATTGTCACTCGCAGTCCTGGGTGTTCAAGATGAGATGGTTGATTTTTTTATCATCTGTTTTAGTGTCCGTGCTTGATGTATCCGGGAGGTCATTTCACAAATAAAACTGGTCCTAGGGCAGATCATTGTGGAATGACATTGCTCCATTCCTTCCAGCACCACGACGTGTCTCATTTACTGTTATACGTTGTTTGCGATTTATACAGCTCGTAATATAATTGAACAGGCAAAACCGAACATGCTCATTATATGACCGAGTCGATGGTGGGGGACTTGGAATTTTGAAAATTACTGCTGAACTTGGATAAACGATCGATACAAAAAGCCTTCCGCATATTCTCTCAAATAACCTCCTTCCCCGTGCATCTTAGAATAAATTTGTAGTTTTACTCAGAATAAAGGTCTATTAGATGTTTGTTGTTTTTAGTCGTATTTGCGGATTAATTGACTTTTGGCCCCTGAACTAGACTTTGGCTATACTTTAAATCAATTCTTTTTCGTAGCACTAAAACCCGTGGTGTTCATGACGGCTTGTCACAGGAGAAAATGAAAGTATCACGGGTTTGTTACGAGCTATATGCAGGGCGTCACGTCAACACGTAATAAGTAAAATCATACGACAGAACTAGGCACCAAATAGGTTTGACAGGATGCAGCTTACTATGGTATCAGCTTTAATCATGATGGATGAATAATTAAGGACACACATACTCTCAAATGTTTGACCTTGACCTCGGGAACTAAAATACATTGTACTGCAATACAGATTTCCAAATCATGTTTCATGAATGGGCTACAAACCTTTGAGATATATGAGGCTGGGTATATATATCAGACTAGAATTATGAGGATATTTTGTTTCTTTTCTGTTCTTGCTGTGAGATGATAAACTCGCAAGTGGCGTAAGTGAGAGGTAGAGTTTCACTTATCCAGTCTGACCTCCTTAAAATAAAAGCAAGGCGATCTTTAGATTTTCATTCCCAAAGTGATTGTTTGGGAGAGATCGAGCCTTTTTATACTCATCACCATAGTGATGGTGCTTTGTCTAACTGCTTGACCAATAAATGCAGAACTTCACATCATGTGATCCTGGTCACCAAGGGTCGGTTTGGTACCCTTGTTTTGGTGATAAGCCCGGGATAATAATTAACTGACCATGTCACTATGTCCTTGTTTAACCGTATTATATAGGAACAAGTTGGACGTGACTGTTTACATATAAATTTATACATATATCAAAGTACAAAGTCGGAAAGTTC